TGGTGAATTTTGAAACCAGAGCATGTCTCACCTTCACAGCTCACTGCTGGGTGTCATGTCTCTGGCTGCATCCTCCAAGCTTTAAATACCAACGTCTCACTTCACCACCAGGTCCACCCACTGTTTTTAAGCGGCTGGATCAAATTTAGGAGCAGTTTTGAGTTCACAGTGCAGCTCCCCATGTTTCCTCATGGTTCCTGTCACTTTCTGAGAGCTGTGGGTGCAGCTCCATCACACCCAGCTCACGGGCAGTGGGCTCAGGTGCCCTCTGTGACACACACAAATAACATGGATGTGATATAGAAGCAAGTAGAGCAAAGCAGGAGACAAGTGACACCTCCAGGGTGCCATAAACTGGAAAGGTTTATGGATTTGTTTCACCAACAAAGATGCATTGGCAAAAAGCAGGTCTAAGCTTAACCATACCTTCTACACCACTTCCCCTTAAACAAGGCACAGTAAATATATTTCTGCTTCAGAATTAAGAGCAGCAGTATTCTTCTCCCCTATTGCTTTCTAAATGAAGCTCCTGAAAAACCCTTTTTGAAGCTTCCCAAATTCATTTCCAGACCAGCTCCCCGCCGTGCTCAGGAGAAATGGATTAAACAAGGCTTTTGAAGAGCAGCTGCCTGTAAGCTGCTCTGGGGACAGCTCAGCTTTTTCCACGTCTCCTGGAAGCAGGACAGACACCAAAACACTCAGGACCAAACCTGCATGTGTAGGCAAAATGCTGCCTTTGGGTGAGAGCTGCACCTGAGGTTTGAGTCCCAGGCAAGCCAGGGCTGGCAAACTCACCCAGGCCCCCTGACAGCACAATAAAGGTCTAAAACCTGTCAAGCATTGCACAACAGGCAAGTTTTGATATTGCAAATATTCATCTCCAGCCATTTCTAGTTAATGAAACAGAGCAAACTGTCGAGGAAAATGGGAACATTACAGTAAAAACAACAACAAATTAAACTCTAATGCAATTAGAGAGTAATTAGGGATCTATCCTCTGGGAGCATTTTGGAACTCTGGGTCTTTCTCAAAAATCTGATCCCTCTGCAACTTTATTCCTTTCTAGTTAATAAGGAAGAAGTGAGTGGCACGGCTCCCCCTGGTTCCCTGCAAAAAGCCATCTTCTGCTCTGCAGGAGCAGGAGGTGCTGCCAGGTAAAGCATTCACACCTCCAGGCCCAGGAAAACGCAGGTGTCAGCAGAACAGGGTGCAAAGGGAGGAGAGAAACCACAGCAGCCTGTGCCTGCTGCAAGGTGACCAGAAACACAAAGACCCAAAGGCTCTTGTGTATGAGCCAGGCTGAGCAGGCACGAGCCAGCCTGGAAAACCCTTTGTTCTCCTGCACATAGCTCAGAAAAAGATGTAGTTAATACCTCTTGACTTTTTAAATGTGCTCACAAAGGTACTCCTATATATACATGAACTAAACCTACCTTAACTATACATATATATAAGGTATATATATAATAAGGTATGTATATAAAATAAGGTAAGTCTATATATATAATAAGGTATGTATATAAAATAAGGTAAGTCTATATATATAATAAGGTATGTATATAAAATAAGGTATCTATATATTAAATAAGGTATGTCTATATATATAATAGGGTACATATATAATAAGGTATGTATATAAAATAAGGTATGCATATAAAATAAGGTATGTATATAAAATAAGGTATGTATATATTAAATAAGGTGTATATATATATATAATAAGGTGTGTATATATAATAAGGTGTATATATATATAATAAATGTGTGTATATATATAAAATAAATATATTATATATATATATATAATAAATATATTATATATATATATATATAAAATAAATGTGTGTGTGTGTGTATATACACACACACCTTAACTAAACCTCTCAAGCTTGCTGCAGGACAGAGCAGGGCAGCCTTTGGGCATCAGTGGTGCCCCAAACCTGCACACTGCCTGGCCTCTCTCCCTGACACCCAGGAGGGCAGGGGATGTGGAGTGTGCTACCAACAAGGCATGCAGGAAATCACAGGAGAAGTGAAAAGGCAAGGAAGCACTGTCCCACTCAGCCATTTCTCCACCCAGGCTCATCCACACGGTGCCTGAGGGTTACAGCAAAGCCTGGTGCTGTTAAATCCTCCTCTGGGGGATGCAGACACAGTGAACTTCAGAGGGTGAGGTGGTAGGGCATGAAGAAAAGCTTTCTCTCCATTCCCCGAGGCTGCTGCTATTGCTGGGGGCAGCCCCATCTGCATTTCACAGCTCCAGTGCTTCTCAGCAAGGGGTGTTTTTCGTGCTTTGAAAGGAGCAATAAAGCTATGTCCTGCCACCTGCCCAGCAGATGTCAGGGACACAACCCTCTCTGTGTTCAGCAGAGGAAGGCACCTGTGCAAGGAAGGGAGGTGGGAACCTTGACCTTCAACTGTTTCTGTACCTAAATCTGCCCTTGGGACACCCAGAGCCCCACTCTGGCCTAGAAATTGGCCCAGTTCTGATCTCTCAAACCAGTTCTGGATCTCAAGACACACCTCTTTCCTTGGGAGCTTAACCCACATAAAGTGAGAACCCCCAGATCCCAAAGTGCCCAGGGCAGCAGTGCAAGGACCAGCCTGGACCAGCCCCAGGACCCCACAGCCATTTCCAAGATGGTTTGAAGAGCCTGCCTAATTGTGAAAGAGCACCTTGCAAGGGAAAAGGGTATGATTAGAGACTTGCAATATGCCAACTTTTGGTCTAAAGTTGCTTCTTGCAAAGGAATAATTCTCAGCAAACCCCCACTATTTTCTGCCCTTAACTACTGGCATGAGGGCTGTCTGTTGTTTGGGGATCTTCCCCTCCCTCCCTGCAGGGAGAAATTACAAATCCACCCCCAGACCCGACCAGACATCAGCATTCCCAGGTAAATCCCCAGCAAAGGGAGAGAGGTGGTGCAGGAGCCATAAATCCCCAGAGAGAGGAAGCCAGCTGTGAGCAAGGTGCTCAGTCAGCAAGGACCAACTGGCTGCACCAATTCCTCTGCAAACTGGAAGCAGCAAATGAAACAAATCCAGGCAAATATCAGCAAAAACAACTCCTTATACAGACACTTTTCAAGTGGGGGCAGTCAGCAACGCTGCCAATAGCTGGGGAGGCCTCGCAGGGTGCAGCACACCTGGAAAAGTGAAAGGCAGCAGCACTGCACCTCCTCTGTGCTGTCCAGGGCAGGAGAAGGCAGAAAAGCCCGAGGGAGGAAGGCTGGATGAAGGAGAAAAGTTAAGACTGAGCAGCTCAGAGGCAAGGGAAATGACTTCTGAAACACCCCAGCCAGGCAGGCACACGCAGAACCGTGGTGAAATGCACAGACTGGGATCAATTACTCGGAGAGACTCACAAGTGAATAAAAATGGTCAGATAAAATCAATTGTGAGGACTGGAAATCACCTCAGATTTTGAAACTGTCCCACCCCAGGATGTGACCCGACAGCAGGATCCTCCCCAGGGACAGGGATGCAGGAGGTGCTGGTACAGGGACACTTGCATCAGGAGGTTTATAACCTACAGGTCTGCACTATTCTGAGAGCAATAAAGGATTCCCAGCCTCCTGCTTCTGATAAAATCAGGGGGAGAGACCCATTTGTACTCTAGAAAGCTCCTGTGCTGCCTCTCCTTCCTGTCCCTTCCTACAGCAGATGAGTCACTGTCTAGAACCTTTAGCAAGACACCTCTTATTGTTTATCAGGTCCCTGCTCCTCGCTGCCCCACAGCACAGGGCAGTGTCAGGCAGTGCTCCAGGTCACTACTCCTTTCCTGTGGAATGATGAGGAAGCCAAAACTGAAGCTCCCTCTGTCCAGCATCCCCCTCTCTTAGCTGCTCCTGCCCAAGAGCATCCCCTGCTCACCTCTCACCTCCCTGGCTGTGTTTTGCAGAGGGACTGCACGTGCAAGAGCAAACAGCACAACCTCACGCAGAAAACGCGAACTGATGGTTTTTAACTCAACACTCTGCAAATCTTCTTCTTCACCGAATGCCACACGCTCAGGCCACTTCAGCGTCACGGGAGGTTAAGAGGAGTGTGTGGGTGTCCCAAGGACAGCCACCCAAGCACGGTTAGGGTCAGGAACCAGGGGGGCACTGCCCAAGCCTGGTGTCACTCACTGAGGAACACGGACCGCTGGCAATCTGCTCAGGGGGCAGCTCCAGAGACCCTTCCCACAGCCCGAACCAGGGCTCATTTCACTCTCGCTGTGCCGGGGACAGCTTTGGCCGGGCTCTGACCTCCGGACACCGCCAGTGCAACACGTGGGGCCCGGCAGCCCCCCGGCCTCACGGCCCGATCCCCTCAGGCGGCCGAGCCGTCCCCGGGGACGGCGGCCCCAGCCCGGCTCAGCGGCCTCCCTGCTGCTCCCCAAGCCCTGCTGCCTCGGGAAGTTCTCCCAACTTCCCAAACAACGCAGAGAACAGCCTTGTTTTCCCGCAGCTGCAGACATCCCTGCTCGTACCCCGAGAGCCCCGGGAGCTCCCGTTCCGCCGCCGGGCCGTGGGGCCGCCGGTGCGGAGCTCATCCCGGCAGAGCACCCCGAGCTGCACCCGCAGCAGCGGCACAGGGGCTGCTTCCCCAGGGTCCTGCACCCACAGGCCTGCCCGCTCCGCCCGCCGCCTCACAGGTGGATGCAGCATTCCCTACAAACTCCGCCGGGAAAGCAGCCGGGGGCTCGGCGCGGGGCTGGAGCGCTGGCAGGGCGAGCGCCGGTCACCGCCGGGGCTGCGGGGTGGCACGGGGGCACAGCATCCCGGGGGCGAACCCGCAGCCCGGCTCCATCCGCAGCAGCGCTGGCATCGCCCGAACCGCGCCGGCAGTCAGTCAGTCCGTCAGTCAGTCAGTCCCAGCCGGCACCGGACCGCCTCCCACCGCCCGCACCGACACCGCTGTGAGCAGCCTCCGCTCTCTCTGCAAACTTTCCTGCAACTCCCATCAACAGATCCCCGCAGCCACCCCCGCGGAACCGGCGGGTCGCTGCCCGGTACCTTCGGGTCCGGCCGCTGCCTGCGGGGCCGATGCTCAGCGCCTCCAGGGCCGGTGCCTCGGGCGCGGCGGGGCCGCTCCAGCCGGGCGCCGGCGCCGCTGCCCCGCGCTCCGGGGCCGCCGCAGCCGCAGCTCCCGCCGCTCCGCCGAGCCCAGGCCGAGTGCGGCGGGGGGCGGCGGGCGGGGCCGGGCCGGGGCCGCGGCTCCTCCCCGGCAGCGCCATTGGCTCCGCCGAGCTCCGCAGGGCCGCCCGCCCGCCCCGCAGCCCCCGGCCCCCGGCTCCGGAGCCGCCCGGTCCGGCCGCCCCCCGGGGCACGGAGCTGAGGCGGGCAGAGAGCGATGGGACGCGAGGAAACGGAAAGAGGGGAGGATTTGAATCAGGGGTGTGAAGAGGTTCCTCCCTGTGAGGATGGGGAGGCCCTGGAGGACCTGTGGCTGCCCCTGAATCCCCAGGAGGTGCTCAAGGATGGGTTAGCTGGGACTTGGAATAGTCTGGTCCAGGTGTCTGTGCCCATGTCAGGGGTTGGAATGGATGGTCTCTGCTATCCCTTCCAGCCCAAGTCATTCTGTGAGTCTGTAGTTTTCCCCGCTGTGAAAATAGAAGGATGTGGAGAACACACTCCCAGACTCTTACTTCTGCAGATGACACACTCATTTGAATCCCCTGGATTTCTGGAAGGAGCAGGCCTGGCACTGCCGGCGCCCACCACGCGCAGCACGCGGGGACAGTGGGAGGCAAGGCAAGCTCCTGCACGGGCAGGAACGGCTTGGAGGAGAGCAAATGCCAAAGGGAACTGGGTTCATCTCCAGTCAGAGGTTGGTCACAGCCCTAGGGGAGGCAGCGGGCGCTGAACAAGTGCCCCAGGTCAGGGTCAGAGCAGAGGAGCAAGGCAAGGACCAGAGCAGGGCAATGAAAAGGGCAAGGAGAAACCAGGGGGACACAGACTCCTGCAAAAAACATGATGGGAAGATGATCCCTAACACAGCACGAGACACACATGCCTGGGAGTCTGTGATGCAAAATCAGGCTCAAACCAAGCTCTCTCCCCACTCTGAAATCCAGTAATGCCTGAATCTGGAAAGAAGATGGATTTCCCTTGTCTTTGTGCACCCTATCCCCAGGCAAAGCCACTTCAGGATGCAGACTGAGAGTCCTGGAAGCATCATCCCTCTGCCAACACACACCTGCAGTGGCAATGCCATCTTGCTGCCCTCCTTTCTGCCTGTGGTGGAGAGGAGGGTGAGGAGCAGCAGCTGTCAGGGAGGTTTTCTGTCCCAGCTCTGCTGAATTGGCTGGTGCCTCATTTGCCAGCAGATGAGGTAAGGAGAGGAGGTGTGATGGAGCAGGGAGGTGTCCTACCTGAAGCCCTGTCCTTCCAGGTGTAAGGCTGTGCAAACAGCCAGGACAAAGGCAGTTTATCTGGCTCTGCTCCACCTCCCTCAGTCCCCATAATATCCCTCAGCAGGGATGAGGTGGTTGGGTCTCTGCAGGGGACAGGAGATGGCTTAAAGGCTCTGCAGCTCAAGGCAGTTGGTGGTTGCACCCCAGAGGAACTGTGGCATCCTTGCCTTGCATGTCAAGATATGGAAAGGCTCCTTTGAGCCTTCACTTCCAAAGCCAGGTGAAACTAAGCCTGCATCATTCCCCTCCTGAGCATTTGGCTCCTCAGGGTGGTTACATTCCCCCTTTTCTCATCAAACTGCTCTGCTGTCCAGGTGTCAGCTTTGCCAGGGTCTGACAGAAATGCTGCACCCTCAGCAATCCCTGTTTGTGGGGAGCAGATGTGGCACACATCAGAGACGGGCCTGGGGCCTGAGGGAGCTCTGCAGGCACCCACAGCCCAGCCAGGGCCGAGGGGCACTAATGGGATGTTGTCAGGACCTCCAAGAGCTGAGTCTGTGCAGTTTAATTGGTTTCTAATAAATATACTTTGCAGACAGTCTCAGGGATTTTGTCTGTGCAATGCAGCAGGCTGAGCCATCCCACTCTCCTTTTGCTACCAGATACCTGGGGCCTCACCTCAGTGGTGAAATAAACTTTAAATCACCCTCTATCACACAAACATTAGAAAGAAAAGACTTCACCAGCAGATTTTCCATTTCCAGCTTAATCTGCTTGACAGCAGTTTTACAAACTATCTGAGCTTCATGATCCTGCTTGGCTCTTTAGCTGTAAAAAAAAAAAATAAGTGTTAAGGAGCATTTAAGCCATGCAACTAAGCCTTCAAAATTGACACAACCTCTTTAGAGGTGCCACCTGGAGTCTCAGATACTTCAGTGCTAAGAAGGGCAGATCAGACAATATTTGCAATGATGCAGCTACCATTCAGGGAAGAGCTGGTTCTTAAATCCTTTCCTCACATTTTTTTGGGGGATTGTTTAATTCCCAGGAGCATCCCATGCTCACTAGCAATAAATGGCAGCATAGGCACAAGAAATGTTGGAAATAATGTTGAAAACTCAGCTTTTGCTCTATCCCAGAACCCTGCAGGGCTCAGGAATATATTTCCTGGCCCTGCGCTGGGCTAACTTTGGAACAACCCAAAACACATCAAAACAAGGAGCTGTAAAGCAGCAGCTGTGATTGATTAATCACAGTAGTGAAGCTGAAGGGTTTGATCATTTTCATAAGCTCTTTAACATCTTATTCTCCAAAGAAGGAGGGGTTACCACAGACATGGAACAAAGCAGATCACAAAGTGGAGCTGATTCCTTCCTGGAAAGGCTCTGGAGCTGCTGTGTGCCCAGCTCCTGTGAGCACTCACAGCTCAGAGCCTGCACCTCAGAGCCCACCAAAGGCCACTGCCAAGCCTGCCCAAGCTCATCAGCAGCAGGAGGGGAGCAGGGCACCTGGTTTGAGAGAGGGGGATTGCTGCAAGGGGCTGCATCTTGTGCTTTAAAATTCCTACTTTCTGTCTCATCTATGTGTCAGTCAAACAAGTGACATGAGGTGTGCCACATACTCCTGGGGACACCAGGCCTTCCCCTGGAGCAATCCAGTGTCAGCCTGTCGGGGCCCAGGGATCCCTCTGGCTGTCCTGGGCAGCTCAGAGCCCTGCCAGGGGCTCAGAGACCCTGGCACAGAGCCCAAAATGCCCCTGTGGGTTTGATTATGACCCCTGGAGCAAATTACCAGCCTTGTATGAAGATCTGCAAGCCATGAGAAATTAAGTAGAATGATAGTGAATTTATCACAGGGTGGAAAAGTAGATTTTGAGGTTTTTAGAATGGGGATTTAGAGGGGCAAAATGGAGAGATCTGGGTGTGTCCAGCCTTTCTCCTTCTTCTTCTGCTTGGCCTCCATCTTCTGCTGTGATGGTGGCACTTACAGATTGGTTTAGAGTAGAAACTCACTGTCTAACATAGGTGATAGGTGTTGGAAAGTAATTGTAAATATTGTACACATAGTTTTTAGTATAAAGACATAACCCTGCCCTGGGGGCAGGCAGAGTGCCTGGAACTGTCCTGCTGGATGGACCTCGGGCAGGAGGTGGCACCGAAGGGCAGGAGAAATTTTTTTATAAATAAGACACAATAAACAACCTTGAGACCGAGAAATGAAGAGCCCTGACTCCTTCTTCAAGCACTGGGCTGGGAAAAGAGACTTTGGAACTTTTCTCGGGTTCACTGATCCTGACATCAGCGTGTGGATTCAGAGTGAATGCTGAGGAGAGGAGAAATGATGCTTCACCAGGCCATGCAGCAACATCTGCTGTTCCTGATGGCATTTTCTATTTCCTTTCCTCCTTTGTGACAGCCACCTCACACATTCTCTCCTACTCCACGAGGCCCTTTGGACTTCTCCTTTCCTGAAATCAGAGCAGGCAGCAGCAGGTTCTTTGCAAAACAAAGTTTTCTGAGCGTGTTTGAAACCTGTGCCTCTTCAGTGAGGTTTGTGGGTCCCCCTGCCAGCTCCTGCTGCTTGAAACAACCTGAAGGAGTGGCTGACCCTGGCTCCATCACACTGCTAAATATGCCCGCAGGATGTCTCCAGATAAGTTACTTTGATTTCTTCAGCTCATCCCCAGCTGCAGTTTTTAATCCTCGGGATAACAAAAGGCTGATCCTCAGCTGCCTCCCAGGATCCCAGGCTCTGGCAAAGCATCGTTAGCTCTCTGCTAGAATTGCAGCACCCGGGGAGTTTGAACAAAGAGCCCCAGGCAGTCCCAGCCTGAAACACTGGGAACAATGCCATCGTTCCCAGAGAGGGGAAGATGTTTGGAAACGCAATTTCCGAGGTCACCTTTTATGATCCAGGCACACCACAGAGCCTGAGAGCTCCTCCTGACAGCCAAAGCCAGTGCTGGGACTTCCCACAATGCTGAAACAGTGGATTTCCAGCTGTTAACAGCCCCATTTCCAGCAGGTCCTCTCTCCCTCCCCATGCCCCACAGCAGCAGTTGCCCACCAGGCCTCTCTCAGAGGGATTTCAGTCTCGTTCCTGAGGAGAACAAGGCTTGGCCCACTAATCTCAGAGGCTAAAATAATTTTATGCTTTCTTTGAGAAATGGTTCCAGCAAAGCCCGGGAGATGCAGCGAGCCCAGACAGAAGCATATTTCCCTTGTGGTTGTGCTGCTGCCCGGCTGCCAGCACACAGACAGGCTGTTTGTGCCTCACTAGGCAGAGCCCAGTGAAGTGTTCAGCTTGAGCGTTTCTCTGAACGCTGCCACCTCAGCTGACCCCAGCTCAGCTCCACAGCTCCCCCAGCATCTCCACTTCCAGGCAGTGCTCGCCTCTGCAGCAGCTCCACGGGCTCCTTGCTGTCCAGCATCCAGCAGCTCTCCACTGTAGCCACATTTCTCTTCACACAGAGAAAAGCAAGGCACAATTCATTCCTCCCAAGAATATTCCTGGGTTTCACATTCTCTGAACCTCAGAGAGAGGAAAAACAGTTCTTGTCTCATTTGCTGTGCCTGTTTGTGCCAATGTAGAATGCAATATGGAGATAATTGTTTGCCCAGAGTGATGGCGTTTTGTTTCCTTGGCCTGCCAGGGCCAAGTGTGCAACCCCACATTTCTCTTCACAGAGGAAAGCAAGGCACAATTCTTCCCAAGAATAT